TTCAAGATACAAACATGCAAAGTAGGGATTCAAACAGCAAGACTGCAAACAGTTCTGTTCAACGATCCAACAAAATCTTAGTAATATGGTTATCAATCCTATACATTTAAACATACATGCAGTTACCCATATCTTCATTTATGTTGAGATTAAACAAACCAAAGCAGGCTAAAATCACTCTGAACAAAGAATAATATTATTGCTGGATTTCACATCATGACACTATGGGATCAGCACTAGGTACTGTAGTGTCTCTTTTTCTTCAAAGTATTTGTTCATTTCATCATGCATTATAAGATCAGTTCTCGTAAACTGTTTATAGGTTCTACACATGCATGAGTCTTAACATGTATTTCTATCCTTTCTATATTAGGGGGAGAAACAAAACAAAGCAAGGCAAAACAAAATATATTCCTATAAATACATGAAACAAAATAAACATATAAGACTGTTGTAAGAGTTCTACCATGGTTCCTGTGTTGTCTCTTATTATCTCCAATAGAATTATCTAAATCATCAGACACGGTATAATTGAATATAGCAGTACATAACAATATTAACAAAAACCCAACTTTGTAGATAGTGTAAAATTTCAATGACAGGTATTAATCAAGCCAGAATGGTAGAATCTTATCATCTTCAGTGTAGTTGCCTATACTCTCATTGATACTATCAATCATAATAGTTTTGAATGAAATCTGTTGATACCAAACAGCAATCAAACAAACCAGATTTAACTAAGATCAGTCATGATAAAGCAGTATAAATTATACAGGGTTCCAGATTAAGTTAATAGGAAATTAAAGATGATTACTTTACTATAAATATATCCTGATATTTTGGGGATAGCTGTCTGTGCCCTCAGATCTAGTGCAAGTAAACCAACTGGGAAAGAATAAAATCTAAGCAGAGTGGTGCAAGTAATGTGTGTTTTAAATCTTGATACACTATTAATATCTTCTGTTGTCTTTTTTTAAAAGAAAGACAAAACAAGATAGAAAATGGGCAGATATAGTACATACTTTCAAAGAAAAGAAATAGGCAGTAATAAATCACTAGCTGATGTGTACATATTATCCCCCTATAAATAGTTGTTCAAGGTACACAAGTGGAACATATAAATGGGATTTCAACCAGGGAGACTGCAAACAGTTCTGTTCAACTATCCAACAAAAACTAAGTATTATGGCTATCAATTCTATACACTTAGACATGTATGCGTTTATCCATGTCTTCATTTATGTTGAGACCTAACAGAGCGTATTAGATTAAAATCCTTCTGAACAAGGATTAATAATATTTCTGGATTTCACATCATAACACTCTGGACTCAGGATTGGGTACTACTGTGCCAGTTACTTTCTTTCAAAGTTTTTCTTCATTTATCATGTGTCATCAGATCAGTGCTCATAAACTGTTCATAGGTTTTACATAAGCTTGAGTCTTAACATGTATTTCTCTCCTTTCTGTGTTAGAGGGAAAAACGTAACAAAGCAAGGCAGAACTAAACTTTTTCCTATAGACATATAAAACTAAAAAGACATATAAATCTGCTGTATAAGGAGTTCTATCCTGGTCACTATGCTGTTTCTTGTTATCATCAATAGAATTCGCTATATCATCAGATAAAGTATAATTGAGCATATCAGTACATAACAGACTTAACAGAAATACATCTTTATAGATAGTATAGAGCTACAAAAACAGGTAGTAATCAAATCAGAATGGATATCATAGTGAATCATTGTCATTTTCAGTATAGTTGTCTGTACTCCTCAACTTGTTGCCATCAACCTTACAGGTTTTGAATAAAATCTGTCAATAATAAGCAGCAATCAAACAAGTCAGATTTAACTAAGATCAGTATAAGTCATGATATAACAATATAAGTCATACTTGGATCCTGATTGAGTTAATAGGGAATTAAAGATGTCCCCTATGCTATGGAGAGCCGTCCATGCCCCTCAGATCCAATGCTTGTATACAAACTAGGACAGAACAAGTTCCAACCAAGCAGAGTGGTGCGAGTAATAGAGATTTTAATCCTGATACACTATTAGCTATATCTTCTGCTGGTTATTTTTTTTTTTTGAGGACTATTCCTCCCTTTTACTCCCTCAGAACGAACTGTGTATTTTTCGGTCTCCCCAACACTCATGGCTTTGTATTGTGGGGGGCAACCTGCTATTTACTTAAGTGTTTCTGAACTTTCTCACTCCTTGGCTGAATTTCTAGTTATATTTCTTCATTTCTTAAAGCCTGTCTGTTCAACCTATCCATATATACTGGTCTAAGTTACCCCTATTACTCTCTGGTTCCCTATCACATCGAGTTCCATTTTCTCATGTTTGATTTTGGTCCATATAACCTTCTTCAGGCTAACTATATTTTCCATAAAGAGCCTCTCAGTTGACCCTATCTCTTGATCCACTTTGCCTGCTATTCTCTATTTTTCCCCGCAGTTAAGGTATCTAGGCCATCTATATTAGAAATTATGTCCAACCTTCTCTGCCTCATTTCTGTTGAGCTCTTTTTCTGTCATTAGTTGTCAGTTTGTCTTCTTCATTTTGCTTTCTGCTCCATTCATTGTGGCCTCTCTGTTACTGTTTTTGGAATCTTGTTATTTTTCTCTTTTAGAATGTCCTGCAGTATTCTCTGTAGAGTTGAATTGGTGGTTGCAAATTCCTCTAGTTCCTCTTTATCCTGGAAGCACCTTGTTTCTCCATTAATTTCTAGGGACAGTTGTGCAGGATATATCAGTCTTGGCTGGAGGTTATTATCTTTCAAAGCTTGAATTATTTCACCCAATGCTCTTCGTGATTTGATGGTTTGTGCTGAGAAGTCTGCTGTAATTCTGATGGGTGTTCCCTTGTAAGTGATCTGTTTCTTGTCTCTGGAGGCTTTTAGTATTCTATTCTTATATTGGATTTCTGGGATTTTGATTATTATATGCCTGGGCATAGCTCTGTTTGGGTTGTAGGTGGCTGGGGTCCTGTATGCCTCATACATCTGAGTATCTTTACCTTTTACTAAATTAGAAAATTCTGCTGGATTATTTCTGTGAATAGCCTTTGTAGTTCATTTGTTTGTGTCTCTACTCCTTCCTTTACATTCTTAATTCTTATGTTATAGATCTTCTTATCATCTTCTAGCCTGCGTATTATTGCTGTTTGTTTCCTTATTTTTAAGAAGTTTTTCATTTCATGCTCTCACATTACAAATCTGTCCTCCAGTTGAGATAATCTATCCTTAGTTTCTTTCAAGCTGTTATGCCAGCTTTCAATAGAGTTTTTAGTTTCCTGGTAATCTCTTTGAACCTGCTTCCCTTTCTTTATCTTGAAGTTGGAGATGGTTTTCCAAGGACTCATGGGGGAGGGGGATTCCTGGGGAGCCATTCCAGCTGAGGTACAATGGGGCAGGAAAGTGTGTGACTCAGATTCTTTCTCATCCCTCTGCTCAGGGCCCACAAAAACAGGGCTGGGTCACAGGACACCAGTGGGTGTGACATTCCCGCAACAGATCATTGTGCAGTTCACAAGAATAGCATTTTTCTTAGGTGAAGGTGGTGGCAGTCCTGGGAAGCTCTGGGAAGATAATCATATTAAATCCTCACACTCATCTCAACGAACTGCTGCCCACCCACCCCCATCCCCCAAAATGAGCATCTCCTGCTATGCGCATCTGGAAGAGACATGTGTTCCCTGAAATCATTAACTGTCAAAAACAATTAAGGGACTTCTTTTTATTCAAAAGCATATTATTTCAGAAAAGTGGCATATTCCAGCTGGTATTCATTTATTGCCTCCTGTATGTCAGGAGTATTCTTAAGTAACAAGACCTGAGTCTACAGGAAAACAGGGATAGATAGATAGGTAGATAGATAGACAGATAGACAGATGACTGAAAGAAACAACTGAGATAAAAGAAAAGAAAAAGGCCTCTGTCTTTATGGAGCATCTTAATGGAAAGCACATTCTAATGAGAGCAGCATATAGAATTAAACCTTGAAGTGATTTTATAAGTTTAACCATTGCTGTGGAAGGAACTCACAAGGTGTTGTGTATTATCTGTTGAGTGTTACCATGGGAGATGCTGAAGTGAGTGGAAATCTATAGCCCTCTTTGGTAACAGCCTGTGGGGGAAGCATTTTAGGCAGAGAGAATACAAATGAAGCATTTCTAAAGTGGTGCAGAGTTTGGCCACATTCTTGAACATAAAGTAGGCAGAACTGGAAACATCACCAGAAAGGCAGAGGGGGAGCACAGGAAGAGGCAGGAGGCTGAGAGGTGGCGTTCACTTTATTTAAGGGCAGTACAGCAGAAACAGTGGGAAGTAAGGAGCAACAGGATGGTATCACACGGAGTCCTGAGTGTCTGTGTTCAGGAAGTGGTTATGTACTTCAGCAGCACAGACTGAGAGTCACCACTGCGGTCACTGGGTGCAGCCCCTGCACAGTTCCAGCAAGATCGAAGGTCTCAGTCCTCATCTATAAAATGGAAGCAGAGCTTTTCACTGAGAAATCTCCCTATTGTGTTTCACATTTAACCCATAGTAGAAGAACCACCTTGATCTTAATTTAAACAAATCTGATTATCTATAACAGTACCTCTCCTTCCAGAGGGGGTGATAGTTGCCTGTGTGGGTTCTCCGGTCCACCAGTTAAAATATAGAAGGAAAGGCTATTAAATAGAAAACCCATAGCTATGAAATCACAAGTGTGATTGCCAGTTTTGGCAAATATTTCATGTGGGGAAGAAAAAGGAAGAAGAAAGTATTTAGTATTCTATCGTGGCAAGAATTTGTAGGGAAATCAGGAGAGAGTAGCACTGATAACAAAGGAGTAGAACAATAATAATTTTTAACAATAGTAATAATAGTGATGTACTTAAAAGGCTGTGAGTTTACTTTAAAAGACTTGAAGATAGTGGGATAAAATACAAAAACATCCATTCTGATTCTAAAGCTGTCTTGTATACCTCTACCCCCTTGTGTCTTTCCAGATTCACAATATCTCACTTGCAGAATGCAGAATTGCACAGACACCAACAAAAACAAACCTTTCCCAGGCTACATTGACCACGACTCTCTGATCGTCCAGGACGATTATGTGTTTGTTCAGGTATGAAAGAGCTGCTCCCATTGGTTATCTCAAAAGTGTTGGCATTGTTTCTGGACCCGGTTGAGTCTTACTTGCCGCTCAGGGGACCTGGGGTAAAGATGAGAGGCAGGGAGGGATACAGGAGCTTCTCTGCTGAAAGAATATTACTTAGTTCAACAGGCCAGGAATGCCCTGATTAGAATACTAAAATTGTGGATAGAATGCAGGTCGGTGCCACTCATCCCCATCTGCTTTCCCAAGAAGCTTCCAGTCACCACTGACTGGGTAGCTGTGTTAATCTCTGCCAAACAAGGCCTGGCAGGCCAATCAGTCCCTCTCAAAAATAAGGGAAGGCTGGGAAGGGGAGGCTGTGTGGTGCCTGGAGGTCAGGGAGGAGGTGGCCAGGGTGAAAACAATCTGTGATTCTCTGGCACTGTTATTAGGAGACCAAGACTGAGCCTGAGATGTATTTAGCTATTCCACCTCCTCAGAGAATGAGAGACTCTAGAGTGTTAGAAGAGAGAGTGTCAAACTATGCTTTGCTTATTTTGAGCAGTTAAGGAAAATTTTAGTCTTGTTTGGACAGTGCACATAAGTATTCAATTATTACTTTCCATGTCAAAAATAGAATAGGTATAATTGCTTGTATGTATAAGCAAAAAGCACAATAAAGACACCCTCTAGATGTTTGTTTTATATATATATATATATATATATGAAATTGTGATTTTTAAAATGTCTACCACCAGCTTTAAATGCTTCACAAATGATCACATATAGCCACCACTTGCTTTTTCTTCAGGGGAACTAGTGATGAATACTGTGCTAATTTCGAGTGACATTACAGTGGTCACATCTATTGGTTCTGTCTAACACATTTCCTAATGAGAGCCTCTCCCAGGAACCTTTCTGCATTTCTACTAACTGTTGATAAGCCACCCATATGACTTACCAGGGAAACACAGCTCTGTATTTACTCTCTCGTATTTTCCTCCCGTGGTGTCCTGGCTGTAACTCTGCAGCCCACACCAGGACTCAGAGGTGACCTACACATACCAATGAGAGGAAGGTGCCAACTTCCCCACTTTCTATGAGCATTCACCCAGCACTCTGTATCATCCGGAGTCACAGACTCCAGGTGACATTTGCACTCCAGGCATTGGCACAAGTGCAGAGTGGCTGCTAGGGAATGAGAAAGTGACAGGGGTGCCTTTGACATTGTACCCCCACGTGGTGCTTGTCTCAGTGGATACCCCAGACTTTTTGCCCTTTGTCTCACCAAAGGCTTGTAAATCCTAGACAAAGTGGCCGGTTTTCACAGCTTCCTTGGAACAAGATCTGGAATGGATTTCAGCGCTGGCTTGGCTCGCACCCCATTAGACCAGCACTCCTGTCGGGGGACGTGATCCCGGTTATCAGTGGGACTCTGCCACACTGGACAGAGTACCCAGAAATGGGAGCTCCTGTCTGCTGCCTGACCTGGACCGTCTTTATCTAATGTGGCAAGGGCCCCTGCTGGTGTGGCCTGGACTTGCGCCCAGAGAGCTCAGCTGCCGAGGGACAATAAGCCAGATACCCTGAGGCTGGTGATACTGAGGGGAAAATAGCTGAGCACGGGTCCTGGCTTCCAGCCTCAGTGCAGATGGAAGAGGGCTGTTTCTTTCCAGTGGGTTCAGGCCGGGCCTCAGACCAGTGCATGTCCAGTGTCAGGTGGCTTTGAACACGATGCCACCTCTTTGCAGTTGTCCACAGCCTCACTGGTGGCAGGGGAACTACTCCCTTCCACTCAGGCCATGTTCTTCTGTGACAGAAGCCATCACAGCAGCTCCTCCGCTTACAGCCCTGCTCTTGCATTCCAGCTGACCTCCGGAGGAAGACCACATTACTACGTGTCCTACCACAGGAACGCGTTTGCCCAAATGAAGCTTCCAAAGTACGCGTTGCCCAAGGTACGCTCTGACTTCACTATGGCTGCAGCACCCTGGCTCTCAGGGTCCCGCCTGCACCCCTTTCCCGAGCCCACCTTTCTTACCATCCTGTCTCCATTTCTCACATTCCTGCTTCCTTACCTTGCAGTTTTGCTAATCTCACTGCTGTCTTTTCTTGGTCCTTCTTTCTCTCTCATTCTTCATTTCCTCCTTTCTCTTTCATGCTGTCTCTGGAATTCATGATATTAGAGCATATGAAACAATAAGTGATTCAGTATTATTTTCAGTAGTAAAGGTGTTCAAAAAATGTGTATTGATTTTCTATCTATTCGGAAAAGTAAACGTGTTATATATCAAGGCAATAGGTAGGACCCATTTCTACCTCACTGTATTGCTAGGACAAATTGTTTACTGAGGGGCACTGCACACAGGTGACTCCAATCTCTACTTTCTTCCCAGAGAAACTTAGAATATTCCTTGCCGTTGGAACTCTGCTACACAGCTGACATTTTCAGTCTTCTCGGGGGATCCCCCTTTGAAAATAGGGCCAAGACCCTCACCCAGTGTGGCCATCCCATGATCTTTGGGGAGACTTGGAAAAACTGTGTTGATGTGCAGCGCCACCTGGTGGAGGTCGTGCTCACACTGGCACTCAGCTGTGCTCTGAGCTCTTGCAACCATGCTGGTGTATTTTAAGTTTCTTAATATATTGTGTTTTAAACTTAGAGCAAAAGAGGTGGATGTGAGAGATTTGTAAGAAGAGGATCCTGAAGGTTGGGTTAAAATTGTAGCTCAGCTTTGGAACTTTTAAATTGCACAGAGAACTTGAACTTTTAAATTGAGTCCTCATACATTTTTATTTTCATCCTTGACTTATGGTATATTATCTTGGATCGACACCAACTCTCTGCTCAGGCAACTTTGATAGAAATGGCACAAGGGCATAGCAGGATTCCTCTCCGAGGGGAGCCAATGGTGATAGATTGTTTGGTCTTTCCTGGGTAAGATTCTTTCACTTGGCCACCTTTCTACCCCTTACCCCAAGAGTGAAAGAGGCTGTAATAGCCCGTTAGAGGTAATAATGCACAGTAAAGTGCACTTTTAACTCCAGTGAGCTATAACCATGTTAGAAGTTATTGCTATTTTCAGCTGCTCAGAGATTAACGGCTGTGGTAATTGCCCAGAACCATATGTCTGTGTGGGTACACACATTTCAATGCTGCTTGCTCTTGATTTGGTTTAGTTTTTTTTTTTTTTCTTAAAAAAGATAAGAACATACCCAGTGAATTATGTCTTAGATGAGAACTGGATGAAGTTTGTATATAAACAGAAAACTGAGTGTTATTAAAATTACCCTTGATAATCTCTTAAGGGTGTTCCTGAGGAAAATGGACAAATTGCCTCAGTAAAGAGAGCACAGTTCCCTCCTACTGCAGATTACTAAAATAAATTGTGATTTCTTTGGCCAAAAAACTGAAGCAGTTAGCTTGCAAGGTTTATATCACTAAGAATGAAATGATGCTCAGTGAGTAAGATGTGCTGGTTTTGGATAGACAGAATTGAGCCTGGAGTAGGGGACTTGGTTGAGTCTCTCATTGACTGTGCTCTCTTAGGTCAGCACACTCTTTGAGGGGAATAAATATTGGCCAAGGCTGCATGCCATTTGCTACCGAACTGAAGCGAGACCTCTAGTTTTCTGACACTCAAGCTAGTGATTATAAACTTTTATGCCTTTGAGAGTAAATGAATCACTTCTCTTGTTCAAATATAACATCACCATCCTTCCTCCAAAACTTGATGTACTGTCAGCAGCACTGAGTGGAAGCATCCCTTTGAGCTGAGAAGTCCCAGCAATAGAAATGTGAAAACAAAGAAGCTTTTATGAGGCCCCTGCCAAAGATTCGGGAGAGGCCTGCCATTGCGGATGCACAGCCACCCCCAACCCCAGTCACTGCTGCCAGCCTCCCCAGCGGCATCCAGCCACTGTGAAAGGAGAAGTTTCACTTTGAACCTGACTCAGCGTGGGCTCCCCTCCCTCCGCTCTCCCGAAGGACCACGTTCCATAATCCAGCCTTATTTAAACTCTGAAGGTAGAATGCAGTAATTAATTAAGCTTGTTCCCACAAAATGGGAGCTACCATAGCAAATGAATGGGTTATTTGGCCCAGGTGGGTATTTGTCATATAAAGCAATGAGAGACCTCATTACAATCCCATTATACCTTCAAAGAGAAGCCTGGCTGAGGGGAGGGATCTGCAGAGAGGGGCATCTGTTTCATGGTCTTCTGTCTGGGCCAGGACAAAAAAAAAAAACCTTCTGGCCAAGAAAAGGAATTGAGACAATCCAGCATTTTCATGCTCAAATTTTGTTTAATCTTCTGCTTCCATTGTGTCAACTCTTGAATGATCATAGTTCCCCTGAGCTGTGCTTAGAAAACAATTAACAGCATAATGGTAAAGAACAGACAAGGAAGGAGATGGGTAAGTTTAACACTGCAGTCGCCATTAACAGGCAGATCATCCCCTAGTCAAAGAGATGGGGTGGTGCTCTTTCTTTCTTCCTTTAACTTACTTGGAGCTCATTCTGAGCCACTGGAGTGAGATAAATGAGGCAATACATATGAAAGTGCCGCGAGCATTTTGGAGGACAGATACTCTATAAAAGCAAGGTAATATTATTATTAGTATGGATTCGGCTGTCTTCCTGGTGGAAGATCAATGTGTACCAGGATGCAGGCAGTGTGAAGCTGTTTGATTTGTGACAGAAGACCCAGCTTTGGACCTGGATCTGTCACTAACTTGTGCTGCAACCTTGGGCAGCTGCTTTATCCATTTCTCTTTGTCTTGTTTTTTAAAATAAGGAGCTTAAATGCAGAATGTTTTCTCAGATGTACTAGAGTAAAATTCCCTTTTTGATATGCCAAAAAAAATTCCATCCTGCAATCAAACAAGTTTAAAAAATGAACTCTCTTCTGTCCTTTGCCTAGAGACTAACGCATTGGTATGTTGAAGAATCATGAGAATTCTGAAAAATCTCTGATTCAGCGTCATTTAAAACGTTTCACCAAAAGAGTCTCTGCTCCCTATTAGTCTATTAAAATCCAACAAAGCTAGGGCCTTGCCCAACAGATTTTTTTTAATTCCCAATAGAAGAGCTGTAAGAGTTCATCTTGATCTGAATTTAGTGATTCAGTAAAAGAGAAAGATAATATTTTCAATGATAGAAGACTATTTAGGCAAGAAAAAAAATCGGTAGCATTTAAAATCTCAAATTTTCCATGCAAATACTTAAGTCCAACATCATCTTCTGCTCAGTGTAATTAGATTATATGAAGGGAAAGATAGCATCTTAATCTGTTTTTTAGTGACCTGTTCTCTAAGTAATCTAGGTCAAAACACTTGATGTATCTAGGTTTTCAGCTGTAAATCTGCAAAATATATGACTTGCATGGTGAATTAGAACAGATAACCTAATCTAGTATGGGATTATTTAACCCATCATCTTCTTTGATGACCTCAGAAATTCACCAGTGCAGAAATTCACTCAGAAGGAACAGAGGTGAGGAGAAACTTTATGCTTTTTCTAGCTTAATTTTGAGAGTTTAACTTGAATTGAGGGTTTGTGTAACATTCTACAGAAGAAAAACACGGTTTGAGATTGCCAGTTTGATAACTCTAAATGCTAGGGTAGATTTTTGTCTTTGCCTAGAATAAGTGGAGAGCCTTGGAAGGTTTCTCTGTCGGGGGAGGAAGGAAAAACTCTGGGGCAAATTTAAACAGCTAATCCCTCCATTTAGAAATAAAACATTTGAATGAACCACATTTTGTTGAGTGTATTAGTAAGAACTCTAACATTTACAACACAGAAAAGCCAAATCAACCTTGCTTAATCGATAGAGGAGATAGAAAGGCTCTCTTCACTGATAATTGCTAGTGAATATGAAGCAAATGCTAAGTGCCAGACATGAAATGTTTAACACTTAATAAATGGTTTTATCTTCACCAGTCTGAGAGGGACATGCTATTACACCTCTTTTGCAGTAGAAATTTTAGACATGTATCTAAATTAGAGTTAAGAACTGAATGCATGTTAAAATGAGAAATTTTGATTAGACATTAGGAGAATTCTCTAGCCAAGGAAGAGTGTCAGATTGGAAGCTCCATCAAGAACAGAACAAGGTCCATTTGTGAACATCTGAGTGGCTGGGAAGCCACCCAGAGGCCAAGAATCTTCCCAGTTGTTTGTCTGTGATCTTGCACAATGCTTCTGGACCTCTTTTTTCTGTTTTGGTTTGGTTTTTGATTTTTGCTTTGGTGGCGTGTCTTCTGCTTTGACTAATGGGTAAAATATAGCTGTGCGTGTATCAGTCCTCTCCGAGAGGAGGCATCCAGGCTGATCTGTGCTAGCCTCTGCCTCTCCAGGTTCTGAAAGAAGGAAGGGTGTGGGATTCCCACGCCCAGAGCATCCGTCTACTGCTTCCCTGTCCCCTTAAAGTTTCCTGCAGAGCTGTTCTGCTAAAGATTTTGGTTACCAGCTTAAATACTAATTAACATGAATTAGCACTGCGGGAATTTTAGGGCAGGCTTCTCACATTTTCATGGACAGACTGTTCCCTAGGAATTTGGGTTCCTTAAATAGGAATAGAGGCTCTAGTGTCAGCTTGCTGGTGGTCCCTGTTTGGCTGGTTCATGGACTACAGTGATAGATGCAGTACTTGTCTGTTAGGCATTCACCATGTTTCAGCCTGGCAAATATATCAGAACGATTCGTTCTTCAAAATCATATATATTCAAGAAAATGTTTTTCCAATTATCTAACAGGCCAATTAAACTATAAGTGAGCTGCCAAGCATCCCTCTATCCTATTTTCCTATGACCCTACCACCTAACCCTGCCAGTGATAAAGAAAATGTGTGATTGAAAGTTAGCTAATTAACCATTATTTGTCACAGGTAGAAAAGGAAGCTTTCTGTGCTTGGTTAAAGTGCCAGTTCCTACCTGACGCCACACCCGTGGACCGTGTTTAAAAGTCCTCTTCCTTCTCCACCTGCTTGTCTTTCTGTAGGACATGCATGTCATCAGCACGGATGAGAACCAAGTGTTTGCAGCCGTGCAAGAGTGGAACCAGAACGACACGTACAACCTCTACATCTCAGACACCCGTGGCATCTACTTCACACTGGCCTTGGAGAACGTGCAGAGCAGCCGAGGCCCTGAGGGCAATGTCATGATCGACCTCTATGAGGTATGTCACCAGGCTGCTTTGGCACCAGCGCTGGCCAACAAGAGTCCAGTAGTAGAGTGATCATTTTAATACCAGTCTATTTGTGGCCTCCTTCCACCTGGGAGGTATAGGAATTTATAAAGCATTTTTATGACTTGATTTACAAGCCACAAAATTCTGGGGTTCTTCTTTGACCAAGTCCAGGGTTTGTGAATCCCCAAGACCTTGGAGAGGATCTTGGTTACCACTGATTACAGCTTGCACAGTAGCGCTCTTAATGTGATATTTCAAAGTAGGTTTGAAGGGTAAAGGGGTTGTTTTTAAAGAGCGGTCGGGGCAGTTCTCTACTGTCTCCGAGGAAAGAGGGAAGGAGATGGGCTTGTCTTTGTTTGCCATAAAGATATTCCCTTGGCTTTGAAACTCTCTCTAACTTCCCTTGGCTAATGAACTTTTCTCCGGGCCATGGTGCAAGGCAAGATCATTAGGTTCTTTTATCCCAAATTTGGAAAAATAAATTAATGAATAACAATAAAAGCACAGCTTACCAGTCTTCCCTAAGAACTATGGCTCTTTGTTTACCAAAATAACCAGAATTCAAAATAAAAGCATACTGGTTGGACCCGTCAGCTTTGCCTTTTAAAGCACAGTCCAATAGTGACAAAGAAAGTCACTATTGGAGGGTGGACTTCCACTATTTTTCAGTCTTATCTTGGGTAATAAGGAGCCATTTTCAAAGATGTATCAGGATTTACAAAGTCCAATCATGTACCTATGGTCTATTTGAAAAATCTTAAAATAGATTAAAATCTCTATAGGCATAGTGACAATGTGGTTTGGTTGAGGATAAATTCAAGGAGTCAAGTGGCTGTTTGTATGATAAGAAGCGATCGAGTTATATTCAGTATGGAAGAAATCAATTACCCTAATGAAATCCAAACCAATCACTACAATTGCTCAGTGTTTTCCATCTTCTTTCTCTTTCACAAGTTTGTGAGAATGTTCTTCTAATGTGTACACTTCTGTATATGTGTCAAGGCATATTAACAAACTGCATGCCAATCCAGAACCCAAATGTTTTTTAACATGATTATGACAATAATGTAGAACCTAGTTTGTGTGGGTATATTTAGAAAAATACACTGCAGGCTTTTTTATGCTTTCACAGGTTTTCTTCACTTTGTCTGCTGCCCACGTTTCAGATAAATATAGCTTCATACATTTCAGCTTCAATCTGAACATGTATTCTGGAAAATATGTATTCTGATGAGTTAGTTTAAAATTCAGCTTGTATAAAATTTAGAGTATAGATTTTTGGATCCAAGTTTCCTGAGATTATATCCTCTCTCTGACATTTGTATACCTGCTTTACACAAATCTTTACCCTGTGAGCCACTGTCTCATAAAAATATGGAGATAGAGACTGGGGATTTAGCTCAGCGGCATAAGTGCCTGCCTTGCAAGCACGGGGTCATGAGTTCAATCCCCGGTACCGATTAAAAAAATATATGGAGATAAAAGCAGTACTGAATAGGATTTCTCTGACAATGAAATGAGTTAATCCTTCCAAAGTACTCAGTGCAAGGCCTGAAATGCTACAGTGCTCAGAGAATAGCACAATTAATATTATGTCCAATGTATCTCAGCACCAATATAATATTCTACTCTTGTATTCTTAGAACTCTATACACATTATTTAAACATATAGTACATTTCTTTTGAGTTTCTATCTCTTCGACATTGCAATTAGCAGGCCCCGTGACACTCTTTAACACCAACTGGATGTCTTTGTATGACCAAAAGTAAATGCTTACGTCTTCTTTCATTTGTAAGTGCCCCGTGAACATTTAAATGTGAGCTCTGTTGAAATGTCATGCGTTCTCTTGCCTTGGTCCAGCATGTGCCATGGAAGTGTCTTCTCTGAGTCTCGGGCTGCTATGAAGTCCAAACATCCCCCCACCCAGCTTAGTTGTCCCGTTTGCTTTCCGGTCTGATTTTCAGATTGCTTTTTCCCCTTTCTGATTATCCTTTCCTTTTGTCCAATTTAAATCAAAATAAATTCTCTAAATGAATTGCATTTTCTGCCAAAAAACAGAGACCATTTTAAATGAGTCCCTGATGATGGGGGAGATGCAGGTCTGGACAGGAATGATTGTGGCATTTCTTGTTATGTATAGCTATTTTCACATGTGATTTTCTGTATCCAAACATTGGTATCAGGTATAGAATGAAAAGAAGCAGGAAAAACTTTTCTCTGTTAATCCTGAGCTTCCCCTTTGAGTCTTTCTGGCCTTGACTCTCTGTAGGGACCCAGCTGGCTCCTGTTACCATCACGTTGAGCAGTAGTGTGACTTTATTATGTAAAGGTGTTTTGCATCCTGGGGCCAGGAGAGAAGAGTCTTTCTTTCATTAGCCTGACAGTTCACAGCAACCTGAATTGAAATTGATGTGATCAGGACGGCAGTGCCGTGTCTGCTGATTACCTAGATAGAAAGAATATTGGCGGACAGAGCCCGGCACAAATGTTCCCTTAAATCTGATTGTTCTGGCTAGCAGGAAGCTGAAAGCCATCCAGCATGAATTTCCCAGTAGAATTACAATGAATGATGAGGACTTAGAGATAAATGAAAAGTAAGAAAATCCATAAATGAATTAATAAGGAGCACAGATGAGCAACCCAAGAGGTGGGAGTGATAGGGACAGCATACACAGAGTGCGTATCTGCTTGCATTTGAGGGTGACAGGAGAGACTGCTGTTCATTCTCTCTGTGTTGTTGCATGTCAGTGACCTGCTATTGCCATATGTGTGTTCAATTTAAGCTGTGTTAGCAGAGGCGAGCCACACAGTGTGTCAGAGCACGGCTGGAGCTGTGCCTCAAGGACATGCAGAGTCGAGCGGTTTTTGTGAGAAATGTAGAAGGAAGCATTGTTCTCATTCAAACCAGTCATTCTGTTTGCATTCGCGTTAGAACATGGCTAGAAATGCTCCCCTCTTTACTCTAGAGCTACGTGTCCATGAGGAATGACACAGTGACATGTTTAGGACCATGCACTGGGAGACAGGAAGCTGAGGCTTCGTCACTGGAAGATAGATTTTTCTCTTAGTTATGAGTTGCTCACTAAACCGGTACCCTCTTCAGGAGGGCCAAGAAATGCAAGTCAGGAAAACCAGCAAATACGTTAGAAGTGTTGTAGTGGTGAAATGTAATTAATAGCTAATGCTGGGGGTACCGTGATGTGCAAAGCTGTATTTAAAGAATCATGAACCATCTCATTCAGTTTACTTACTAATTTCAAGATATGGGAGTAAAATCACTTCTTTCCTAATAGAGACTTTGAGAGAATGCACCCACATGTGTAAGATTATATAGCCAGTAAACAGCAGGATTCAAGTATGCAAGAATATCGTAGAGCCTGCAAACTCTCAACTATGAAGTGTCCTGTCTCCCTGGAAGATCAGTACTGGGGACTAAGTTGATTATAAGTGAAAAACAGTGCCAAGAGTAACAGAACACGGCAGGCTTGGTGGTGGTCAGAGCAAGATGAGCGTGTCTGTGACATTCAGTTCCTAGGATATTTGTGCGGTGTGGATGATGAAAAGGAATCTGACAGCTTTGGACAATATCCCGCCTCCTTTGGGAAGGGAATATTAATTAATGATGATGAAGGGCACTCTGGCTTAATGGACAATGACAGTTTCCTCTGGCTGAGTGGAAAGGCTTGTGTTGGGAGTGAAGCCACCTGGACGTCAAATTCGGAATGCACAGGAATGCGCCTCTTGTGAGAGTGAGTCACAGTGGGCATCCTGAACAACACACTGCCGTATGTCACAGGAGATTAACGGGGAGCAGCAGATGTCTTGTGGCACACTGTGTCTTGCACACTTCGTGTGGCCTCTTTAAAAAGAGAACATTAAATAGTCATGATGATGTAGTTCTGGAAAACTTTGCCATTAAATACCAAAGTAAGAGGTAGAAGGGGAAAAACGGCCTTTAATCCAACATGTATTCATTATAATATGTGGAACAGGCCACTGTTTCTGGGAGAGAGTAGTGTTAGATCAGGGCAGCAGGGAGAGAAAGAAGGTTTCCACTTATTTTGTCAGCTAGGTTCCCCCATTGCAGAAGCAGCCCTGCTCTATCTGCTTATACATCTCCACTGCTGGAATATTCTTTGCAAGTAAAATATCCTATCCCCAACCCCAAAGACATCATGGTCTTGGAAAAATTCCCATGCTTGCTATAATTGTTCTATCTTTTTTGTTCTTTCGATTTTTTTTTTCCACTGAGGATTTGTGACTTTAGATTGAGGGATGGGAGTAATCAGCTCTCAGTCAGACTCAGAGGGAATACACGCAAACACAAAGATTCCTGGGATGGGGTCCTCCCACTCGGACAACTTGAAAGATTGGTGCAAGAGAGAACTGTCAAAGTAAGCATGAAAAAGGAGAGATACCTGGGAGTCTTCTTTTTAATAATTTAATAAATCTAGGCTGGGATATAGCCGAGCGGCACAGCACCTGCCTGGTAACTGTGAGGTTGACTTTGATTCCTGGTACAAAAAGAAAAGAAGAGGAGAGGAGGAGGGGAGGGGAGACCAAATGCCCAGCGCATAGAAAACTCTAACTTGCCAGAATCATTTGTTGAATGTAAGTACAGCTGCTTAGATATTCCAAGTCTGATATCCACAATGCTCACATAGTACATGCTGAAAATATATTTACTGAAAGACTGTTGATTTAATACACTAAGCAATGAAAGAATGGCCATTTCCTATAAGCGTGGTATCCCAAAATCATGTTTTTCTCAGTACATTCTAGGATGAGAGAAAAGCTTGAAAAAATTTAATACAGCCACGTGACTGGTTACATGTACTCTGAAGTTAGACACAATAACTCAGAGTGTAGATTTTAAGTTCCCTTGCAGAATGATCTTAATCAGACAAGTGATTAAGATCACATCTGAACCTTGGTTTACTCATACACATATTTAGGGTAATACTGGATCTACCATTTAGAGTTCATGGAAAAATTTATGTGCTCATATTTCCAAAGTTCTTTCTTATGGTGTAGAATAATTTATGAGCACTCAATAAGTTTAAGGTACTGTTGTTGTTATTTGTATATTTTTAATGCAAAACACTTACTGCTTATTTTATTGAAAGTAAAACCACAGTTCCTCGTACCAAGTGACTTCACTGTTATGAGCTATAAAGAAGCAATTTGTGCTTGAATGAAAACTCAAAGATGATGCCAGTGTTTGAGACAATAATGTGAGATTTCACCAGAAAAGAGACAATGTGAATTACCTTCTTTCAATAAAGTTTCTACAGAGTAGGAGGGAGAGGGTGAAAAAAATTAAGGCCTGCTATGTACATATACCAACTCCTCACATGATGGTAATCATTATTTACTGTGAACATGTGCTAATAACAATAAAGATTGTAAAAAAGAGCACTAGGGGAGTCCACAAAAACATTGGCATCCATAGGAAAATTCCATAATGGTTGAGACCAAGATACGAGGCATGAATAGAAGAATGGAAAAGTGTTGGAGAAATGGAATGAAACAAACTTCTGATTCATCCCCAACCCCTGCCAAATGTCAGCCCCATGCCTTTCATTAAATATGCATTTGGAGTAGAGCCAGAGAGAGGTGATCTGGAAATGTATGCCTATTTTCTCATTGTCAGTGGGACCCTTTACACAGAGACAGAGAGACAGGGAAACAGAGTCAGAGACAGAGACAGAGAGGCAGGCATACATGCATGAAATATTCATACTTACACCCACACAATTCCACATTTGGGGCACTAATGCTGCTACTTTGGTATTGGAAGTCCTACAGTAAGTGAGTAAACATCGCAAGATAGATGATAAGACTACAAAAACCACAGTGGTTACAGTGAGAGATGTGGGGAAATGGAATTTCCATGCTCCGAGTGGATGGCACAATCCTAAGCAGGATGGCCTTCTTTGCAGACCATGCCAAAGGGACAAAACAATAAAAAGACACTGACAGATAACGTGCCTTGGCTGTAAGAGGAATATAAGTAGACTTTCTACAACTTGATCTTCCATTTCAGTATTCTCTGTACTTTGCCAAGATTTTATTCCTCGACACAAACCTGGAGGCCTTGCTGTCAGAGGTGAATTCCAAGGTTCACCTCTGCTCAAAATGGCATTTGATAATGTCAAGTGGTTGGGGGCCGATAAGTCGCCACTTCTGCAAATCAAATAAACCAGGTCCTCAGCACAGCGTTTCATGCTCTGGCCCTCTTACCAAAAGGGAAAAGGCAGGAAGGAAATTTGGCAGGGAAACTACTGAGGTAGGTAACAATTTTATTCCTTTTGCATTTATTTTTATAACCCTCCAGAGCACGGAATGGCTAAGACAGAGTCATTCCCCATTTCTCAGTGTGCTATAAGGAGAAGATCAAAATAGCTTTGTGAAATTCTGATTTCTGAAATTTAATTTTTAAAGAACTGGCAGTTTGGTCCTATGTGAGTCTATAATAGCCTCACAAACATATGCAAAACTAATTTGGAGTTTCCTGTTGAGAAGCCCTGATAGAGCTGGTGTGGCAAATAAGTACATATGATTTGTAATTAGCACAGTATTGCTGGAGGTGGAGCGCTCCTGGAATCGACACCTCCTGCATTTGCTGAGGATTTGCAATGCACAAGAAACTGTACTGGCTGCCTTCGATTGCCCAGAATGTGGCTTGTTTCCCTAAGTACTTCAAAGTATTCCTCTCAGGAACTCCTTGGAGGCATTTATTTGTTTAACACATTTGTTGTTCCAAAAGAGTGCAAATTTGGCCCAACTCTAAATTATCCCAGATGGCAAATCAGCAGGTACAAACTAATGAGGTCTGACTGTGTCAAAAGCAAAGGCAGAGCATGTCTTCTATTGATCAAAACCCAGCCTCTCTAAATTGACAAATTCAGAGCTGTGTTTATGGAAAGAATTTTGGAACTCAAACAGATTTGAGAATGAAACCCAACACCCTGTGATCTTAAGAAACTGATTTTATCTGTACCTGAGCTTTTTTCATCCATGGAATTGGAATAAAAGTTGTTATGCAAGTTTGAAACAAGTACTAGAAGGTTTATATATAATGGAATGGGCACAGATGCTTGATATGAACAAGAACTCACAAGATGACTGCTATTTTTTTCACTTTTTCACTTAAAAAAATTCCCATTACAATACATAGGTCCCAGCTAAGTTAAATGGGCTCACCTATGGTGGCCAATTTATTCACTCACCTCCATGTACGTTCTGCATAGCTACTTCATTGAGGTCTGTCCACTTCATTCCCAAACTTCACATGACTGTCCTATCTCCTGCTGCTCATAAGCTTTAAAATCAGCTACAGCACCCATGGGACAGAAAGTGCTACTCCGCACACTGTGGTCCTTTTCCTCACTGCCTCCAGTTTCCCTACGTTGTGATAATCTCACCCAGGGGTAAAATACGTGTTTGATAAAGTCCACAACACTTGAAACTCCACAATGGATGATTTATTATTGCATAGTTTGATAACCTGGTAGTTACCTCTCCCAAAACTATAGAAGAGAGGATGCAATGTCATTTTCAGAGTGAAGTCATTAATAGGAGCTGCTTGTGGTGAAAGCAGTGATGTTATAAGAGTGGGGTAGAGATTATTTGATGACAGAATGTATTGCTTCTTTAAGTTTAGAAGTTTTTTTTTTCTTGAATAGTCTGTGATTGTGACTTAATAAAGAGATCATTTATAGAAAGAAATAAGAATTACATTAGAATCTTCAATGAAGGACTTCTTTCAGTTGCCCAGATGGCTCAGTAATAGCCATTCAGAGTATAGCTCTGAGGCCATAAAGTTCTAGGTTCAATTGCCAGGTCTGACACTCACTGCGTGTGCATGTGTGTGTGCGTGCATGTGTGTGTGTATGTGTGTACCAGTGAGTCCTTAGGAAAGAAGAACTACCTGGAGAAACCTGAGATTTGCTCAAATGTGAAACAGAATACATGACTTTACCCAAGAGAGCTGGTCCAACAGTTAAATGAGGTAAAATTTTCAAGTCTAGAATACAGCAAAAGTGTTTTCTATTTCTGTGTAACTTTCCAAATAGCAGAACCAAGAAGACCAGTTTATCTCTTGGCCACTGAAAACAGCGGCCAATCTATGTGAGACATATTAATGAACATCTGTCTAACTTGTTACAATCTCCATACAAGTAGCACAATTCTGGCTTTCAGCTGGCAGGCTAGAGAGTCGTACCTAAGCATGCCCCCTCTTAGCTGTCACCCTGTCATCCCCCAAGGCAAGTGCTCTTGGAAGAGTTGGAAGAGTCCCCTTTTTAAAGTAAGTAAAAATATTCCTCCTCAAATTGATATATTTTTCAGCCATGTCAATTTTTCCCAGGTAGCAGGGATAAAGGGAATGTTCTTGGCTAACAAGAAGATTGACAACCAGGTGAAGACTTTCATCACGTACAACAAAGGCCGAGACTGGCGCCTGCTGCAGGCACCAGACACAGATCTCAGGGGGGACCCTGTGCACTGTCTGCTGGTGAGTAATCACATTGGATCGGAATGCCTCACAGGTGAGGACTGGAAATGGCACTAATAAGAGCATGCAGATAGGCACTTTAGTTCAGTTGGTGAGCAAAATGGGCAGGGAAGGACATGAAGTAAGAAGTAAAGAGGCGTCATGAGGCTGCTTTTTGCAATGGCTAACAAATAAAAGAACACAGGTAAGACTGTTGCTCACTTCTGGGATCCATGCTTCCAGCCTTAACTGTTTTATTTTGCTTTGCTCTGCTTTACCTTGCTTTGCTTTGTTGTTGGGGATTAATCCCAGGGCTTTGGATCTGCTAAGCACACACTCTATGACTGAGCTACACCTCCAGATTCCAATAGGAATCTCCAATCGTGGTGCAAGATTATCCCCTAAACATGCATCACTTCTCATGGTAATCACCTGTTACAGACCTAATAATGAACATTTGTACTGCACAATTGTTGACCTGAACAAGAACACGTGTAGGTATAATTCCTGCGATAATGTTTCATCACCATTGTGAGAGAATTTTATGACCTCGAAAGGGTTTGGAACCACTGATTTAAATTTCCAGTTTCTTTATAATATACCCCATCCATTTGTCTTAATCTATAAACCTTGGGTTGGCATAAAAGAGGGCCTGAGGGAGAATGATGACCCAGCACTTGTTTTTCTAAATAAGGTCTCCCTGAGACACATCTGCCTGTCTATCCACACATTCTTCATGGCTGCTTTGCCTCTCCAATGGCAGAATCAATGAGCCGTGGCAGAGACTGTGGGGTCAACAGAGCACAAGATGTTTAGTTTGGGGCCCCTTAAAAAATGTGCTTATCCCTACTTCAAAGTCCGGATTTCTTTTAGTTTTGTTATATTGGAAAATAAGTGTTATCAGCATTAATTTATTTATATATTGAATGATATGATGGTGCCCAAAGACAAATCTTGCTTCCAAGGGTTTGCAGTCAATTTGGCTCTTTGCATGAAGCTACATTAAGAAGTGAAAAACTGGAGAGTCACTTACTACCCCTGTTAGTGGCTCTTGTTAATTGCTGCATACTTCCTGCTCAACAGATACTGAGTGAGTATGGAGGTGGGGGGAGATAGTGAGGAACTGCAAGACAAAGTATGGTTAAATTAGTGCTATTAATTTCTGTAAAAGGCTTAAGCTGCATTAAGTCAAGAAAAAAGGAGAGACCAGTATGTAAACAGAGAGAGAAATGCACTTAGTTTTAGTAAAAAGTGCTTGGTGTGTGTGTGTGTGTGTGTGTGTGTGTGTGTGTGTGTGTCTGTATAGGCAGGCTGTCTGACTGTCTGTCTGTTTATCATTGTTCCCACAACTCTGGCTTTGCTGTTGGCCACTCTCTGCTTGCTTCCTTCCATCCTGCAAACTGTGGGTAGCAGGTTCCTCCTGCATAACTGGAGGTGTGTCCTTCCCCTACTGGAAAACAAGCCAGCAGCTACAGCTTGACCTCATTAGTTGCAGAGAGATCTCGGTTGTCACAGTGGATTAGGGAAGCAACTTTAAATTCAGCCTCCCACTCAGCTTCCATCCTGATTACTGGCAACTCACAGGGAGCAAACCAGCCAGTTACAGTGAGTGCACAAAGCCTATGACAGATTAAGTAAACGTATCAGCTGTTTATTGAACAGCCATGCTATGGAGAGGTGGAATTCAGTGGCATTTGTAACTCACAAGACCACCTGTCTAGCAAAGCTATTCCGAGTGAAGTATTGGGATATTTAGCCAGAAGTGCACAAGTTGGGCCATTCTTACCCCTACATACTTTGGAGGTGAATGCCGTAATGTGAGAGAATGATCTGTGCCATCTAAACAGGCTTGCCTAAGCGCCTTGGCATTGTAAGTGGGTCATTAAAATGGACTTCTAAACACAGTACCTCACCAGGTGTTCATTTCTCACCCAGAACCCAAAGTCATGGGTCAGATTTCTATGCCTCCAAAATGCAAAGGCCATCTGGGCTTCCTTCTCCATCTCCTCTGGGACAGTCCTAGTCCAGGCTACCATCGTCCATCACCTGACACACAGTGATGGGCTCCTGACTAGTCCTCCCCTGCTTTCTTCCCAGCAGCCTACTTTCCAAAGACAGTGTGACTTCTTCTTTTAGTGACTCAACTTTAGCGAGATAAAACACATAGACCTGTGAGATGTGCATTGAAGTGTAGAGTTCAGTGAATGTTGACACATGTGTGTGCCCACGTAACCATGACGGGGTCAGGATGGGCCGTTTGGGTCACACTGACACAGTGAGAGTGACACAGAACTCTCGCTCCTGTTCCTTGATAACTGTACTTGGCCTTCCTTATTGTATGCAAGATTTATATCCTCTCAAATTTTGGAAATAGTACTAAGTTGAGCTGCTTTTGAAAAGCTAGATTATCTCTCTCCTTTATTTCTAATGGTTTTCTAGTTCAGGATGAAAACAAAACAAAACAAAACAAAACAAAACAGAGTACTTAATCACGACCTCCATGTGACCTCAGTCTACACACCAAGTGGCCTCCTCCTGCCCCTTACACTTCAACCAGACTTTACTCTGCTTCCTTCACCTGAGCGTTGAAGACCTTTTCTTCGTCCTCCACAATCTGGCAGTGTTTATTTGTGTCTTGGTGTATTTGCATTGTCTGTTATTCCCCTTAATAATGTTCTTAATTCCTTTAATTGCTAGCCAGGATTTACCTTTACATTCATATCCTGACTCTCAAACAGGTTTCACCAGCACTCAACAGTTATATCGATCCCAGCCTTTTTCTCTCCACACTCCTCGTTGCTGTCTGAAATCAGCCCTTGTGTTCGTGGGTTCTCTTGCCCCTCGTTCTCTGTCAAATAGTTGTTCTGTCAATGAAGAGGCCATGGCTATTTTTGTGACCATTCCAAAAATGAGTTCTGAGTCATACCTGCCACGTGGTGGATGCTCAGCACGTGTGCTGTGTTTGGAATTTGTGTTTGGAGTAGGCACTTAATTCAAAGGTGTTGTCCAAGTATCCTATTTGGACTTTAAGAGCATTCCCTCTAGTAGTTACACTGGAGAATTTGTCATAATGCCCACCTTCTGAAGCACATGAGTTCATGTTGACTCCAACATTAATAAAATCAAGAGGGTCGTTAAGATAAAGGCGAGATGAATTAATGCAATGGAGATGGGAATGGAACCCAGGAGTCTAGTTCTTCCTCTCTTATTAACCCTGAAGCTTAAGGCAGTTTTTAATTCAAGCTTTTAAAAACAGATAACAGAGTGAAGAGTAGAAAATGACAAAAGGATGGGGAGGAGGAACTGAAATCACTTCATAAAATCTGCCAAAGGTACAAAATAGGAAGGAAAATCTTTGAGCTACAGGAAACCCAGACTGGGGGGAAAAAAAGCTTTTCTAGGCTTGGAAACTGGAGGGAGAGAAAAGATAAAAAGTGATTTTAGATTGTGAGTTCTTGGAAAGTGACAGTGTCACTGAAAGCACAGCCTCATGATTAGAAAAGAAATTTTCCAGCAAGGCTGTTACAAATGTGGAACAAGTGCAGAATTACAGCCCCAAATGGAATGTTCCTGGGAAAATGTATTCTATAGAAATAAGACATCCAGGATAATTCGGGGCTGCATTTTTAGGTCTTTCGGACTGATTGCCTGGAGGGCCCAACTGGGATTTCTTTCCTCTGAAGACTGCATTGTGCAATTAGGTGGGGTATTTCAGGTCATGGTGTCCCTGCTCCTGTGCCTCACGTGGCTCCCAGGAGGGAAGATGTGACTCAGTGGAGGCCGCAACAAATCCACGGGCCTGTGGGGAAAGCACAGGGCTTCATGGAGAGATACCCAGACTGCTTTATGGATTCACTTGGCCTTTTCCCCCACAGGAGCTGAACAGGTAGCTGCCCCAGGAGATTCATGACTGTCTTCCACCTCCCTTGTACCTCTGTGAGTCTGTATCCTGTGCTGGGTTGCCGGGCAGCCCCAAACTCCACATTCTGCCAGCTAAGCTGAGGGCCACCCTGTTCTTTGTCACTGATGCTGTGCTGAACAGCTAAGGAATTCCTAGCTCCAGTTCAGAGTCAGAAACTGCACAGAAGGATCAGGGATTTGAGGGAATGAAGATGCCAGGTGCACTACCTGGGACTTACCTGTGCTGTTTGAGATTTATGGTCTGTCTTTCAGTGCAGTACCTAGATCCATAGCCCTGGAGTAAAAGTACCATGAAGAAGGATCCAAAGGCTGTTGATACCCAGGCTGGGGGGAAAGCAGTGGGACAGTACTGGAAATCACTCGATGTTTGTTAAATTTATTTATGTCATGATGGGGAAATGTCCTCTGTCATTTAATAATTTTCACTGGCCACCTACAGTGCTAAAAGCACAGTAAATAATTAATGGATCACCTGAGAGAGTTGGGCCAAGTGAAATAATGCAGGCATAGAAAGACAATAAATCTGTTCTCCCTGGTGTGGGGAAACTAAACCAATCTCAGAGAAGCAGAGAGCACTGAGGTGGCAATTCCCAGAATCCAGGTGATGAGGAGATGCAGTCAAAGACTTCAGCCGCACAGGTAGAATAAATGATTGGTATTTTTAGTGAATAGAATTCACGCAGCAGTAAAATCCAGCACACATTTATAGAATAGTTGTAGTGGTCAAAGGAGCTTGTGGGTAAAAGTAAAAGAAAAAAGAAGACAACAAAAAAGGAAATTAGGACCTAGCGGACCACAGATGTGGGTCTGAGGTGCTCCCTGATATTGAAGGGAAACTGGGCATTTGTCTCCGTGCATTTTTTAGAGTCCTTAATTTGCTTCAGATTCTCCAACATTGTACATGATTCTGATAAGATTAGAAACAAACAATCTAATTGGTTCTGGGATTGACTTAACTGATCACCACCCACAGCTTGTGTAAGTCTACAAAGGGCAGCTTCCAAATACAAGCGCTGGCCCCTCTGTCCTCCATCCTCTCTGAGTCAGCAGCTAAGTAGTGGTGGTTGCTGTGCCCAATCTTGTATCTCATTAATGTGAAAGTTAAAGTGACATAGAGAACCGCTCTTGGAGCAGGCTGTGCTTTGACTCTACTGTATCTGACACAACGCTAGAAATAGTGAAAACAACACCTGGGTCTATTAGGCTGTGACAGGTGCTCAGTATTTGTTTGCTAATAAGAGAAAAAAAAGCAAGCAAGAAAGAAGAATGAAAAAGAGAGGTCTACAAAGTGCTGCTGTCTGGGCAAAATGTGCATAAGAATCCGAGGGCTGTGACTCCTGTCCTGTGAGAATTTGTGGCAGCTCCGCTGTCGCTATGGTGGTTTATGGCAGTCTGCTTATGGTGATTTCACTTTGACAGGTATTTAAAATGAGCGCACTAATTTAAGTTCAAAGAGTAAGGTGAGCCAGCTAACATGGTTTTCATTCAAACATTTGGGCAGACATTGCAAACTCTTTGACAAAAAAATGTAAGTAAATTTAAAATAAAGCCTCAGGCTATCCTTCCTGCACCAGCTGGGGGCAATCCAGGACTACAAATGTGAAAGAGGAGAAAATGTACAGCAAAGCAATCACTTCTAGTGTTGCTGCTGCTATATGAACTGCTGGCTTTTCTTCTCAGATTAGAATATTTTGGCCCTCTGGAAGCCATAGCAACGGAGCAGCACTGAGACTCCCGATTGGAAATGCCTTCCAATCTCTCTGATAACTTTTTCATACCCCAGAAACACATCCTCTTCTTGTCAGCTGAGGTGTTCAGTCTTCCAGCTGTGCTGAGCAGCTGGCCCAAGATTCCCAGCTGAGGCCTCTTTCTCCAGGAATGTCCTGCTGTCTCAGATGGTGAAAAGGCCCTCCAGTAAGCTCTTTGGGGGTAATCTCCAAGCTGCACTTCTTGGAATGCTGTGGAGATGGACACAGCAATCCTCAGACTGTATGATTTGTAATCAGTTCCAAGCATTGCTGGTGTTTTCTGAGTAGGGTGATAGTCTTTCATGCCCCAAGAAAAATGTGTATCTTTATATTGCAAGCTATTATTGACTATCTTTCTTAGGGCCTATGCAAGATACCACAGACTATGTCAAGTTATATTTGTGACATTCTCTTCATTTGTAGACTGGGAAGGTAAAATTGTACTGTACAGAAAAGATAATCTGGGATTGCACCTGGTAAAATGCATGGTGGTTACTCAGAAAGGGAAAACCCAGATCAGCTGCAGTTGTCAGGAAAACGTGGGGAGAAACAGTTTGACACTTCTGCTCTAACCTGGCCTTACTTCCCCTGGAGTAGTGGGTGACAGTACCCAGAATCTCTGCAGCATCTAACAGTACCTGGGCTACTCTTCTCTTAGGACGAAAGGAGTCCAAGTGTTTGGTTTGGGTGCTTCTTTCTAGAGGTGCTTTCTATATTTTTGCTTAAAAAACACTTTAGAGTGAAAATGAATTTTCAGTGCTTTACATAAAATTTTGATGTACAACTAATACTTTATTGCTTCTTGAGAATCTTAATTTCTATAGTGACAGTGAATGAAAGACCCTCTTGTTTATTTTTGCCAGATTTTGGTTGTTTCTATTCCTGAGTTTCATTCTTAGTTTGTCATTTATTCTATCTTGTATAAATGTAATCGCTATATCTCTGTAGCTCTGCGTATGTGCTGGCTGAGACTTACAGAACACAGTAAAAGTAATAACAGGGATATGTTGGTGATTCCAGAAACTGAAGTTGATAAGATTAGAAAGTAATCTTCCTGAGAAATGGAAGAAATGTAAGTTCAAACACAAACGTGTATTTTTGACAAGACCGTACAAGGTCTATTTTAAAATAAATTCGTAGAAGATATTTTATCTTTTAGAAAACTATTGGTATCTTAATCAGAGAATTCAATCAAGCTTTTCAGATACAGGTAAACAAGTTCCTTAAAATTTCATTTAATTTTTATTGCTACTGCATTTGGTGTACATATATAACTGTTATATTGAATAAAACTGGTTCTCATAATATCCTTGTAGAAACACTGCTTGAATATTTTGGAAAGTTCCAGGACAGTTTCTCACATCACAAGCTTCTTCTACACCTAGATCAAGACCTCAAATGCTGTGTGAATAAATTATGCCCAGTAACTGCTGCAAAACACTCCCGATGGAACCTTTCTTGGTTTCATGTCTCCTTCCTCCGCTTTTGTCTTTCATGGCTGTGTACTGCATAACTCCATTCTTCTGCTTATTTTCCTTCATAATTGATTTTGCCCAGGTCTGAAATGTCCTTTTGCCTGTGCAGCATCTTGCTTGCAGTCCTAGCCAACCCACCAGGCACCCTTCTCCTGAGAGCCATCTCTGCAAAGGTGCATCACCACATCTCTACACCGTCCAAAATCTCTTAATATTTTGTCTGCCTTTCTTGTGGCTATAAAAATCTGTTTTTCAGATAATCAATGGAAAGATCTAATGCCCTGTAACTGCAAACTCTGTAAAGTCAAAGACGAAATTTTAGCCTTTTAAGCTTCATCTAGTGTTTTACAGATAAGGTACCAACATGTCTGTCAAATTAGCAAATGGAATTAAGCCAGTAAATTAGACCTAAAATGAAGGTGCTCCTTTTTACCCAACTTGGCAGCCATCCTACACCAAACAGAAGCTGTTTGTTTGTCAGGAGAGAGGTAATGGGTTGGTGCATGAATGGATGCAGTGGATGGATAGAGGTGTAGATGACTGGAAGGGTAGATGGGACAGTTGCCAGGATGGAAGCATGCTCTGAGTCTGGGCTTAAATGACCTTTGAAGTGATGAGCTCTTATGGCGTTACGTCTCCTCTCTGTAGCCCTACTGCTCCCTGCACCTGCACCTGAAGGTTTCTGAGAATCCCTACACATCGGGGATCATTGCCAGCAGAGACACAGCTCCGAGCATCATAGTTGCCTCAGGTAAGAAGCTTGGCTGCTATGCTTGCTGTTGTAAACAACGTTTATTTTAAGACACTAGATATCGTTGCATGGAATTTAATGAGCAAGCTACAAATATTTTGAAAGACATCTGCACCACTGAACATGAAAGCAGGAATGCTGAGAAAACCCCTGGGCGGACAGAACGTTAGCCATTGAAATCTTTCGCAGGCAATGCAGGCTGCTGATTTTGTTTGTTGTTAGCTTGCACAGAAAGTTCTTTCCACTAATGGGAATATACTCTTTCTAGGCAATATAGGTTCCGAATTGTCAGACAACGACATCAGCATGTTCGTTTCTTCAGATGCAGGGAACACTTGGAGACAGGTAGGAAAAATGCCCTGGGTAGTGTTGGTAAAGTTTAATAAGCAAAAGCACCTGTCCAGTTTAGTTTTAAGTTTAGTGTTAGGTATAAACATTAAAGCCTACTGATCTGTTTTTTATTTCTTATGAAAGTCTTAAATCTTGGAGTTTAATAAATGTTTCGTTTTTGGTCACTTAATAGTGATATTTATTACTGAGAATCTGTGGTAAGGTCATTTATAGGTGATGGTAAACCAAATCTGATGGAAATTTCCCATAAAAGAAAAACAGAATCCATACAGTTTCACCACACAGAGCACAGGGAGCCTGAATGGTGCATTTGAACCCTAATTCTGGGCTGCCTCTCTATCACCCTTGCTCTGAAGTCGGGACACACAGAAATGCAGTGGTATAGAAATGGCCATTACCCAGGTGCTGTTCTGAGATGTTTAAATTTCATTGTCAAAAGAAGGCAGAGTAATAACCATCAGGATGCATATGCTAGGTAAAGTAGAAATGGAATCACTTAAAACTAATGTGTTTAGATTAAAGACTTCTTGACTTTCTTCTGAATGAAAATTAGATACCCATGGCTTATAAAACAGGCATTTAATGAGGTTTGGCAATCATAACAAGATATGAGTCTAATGCATGGTTGTTACACTTGGATAAATACGTTTTAATAACCCACTGACATTTAATTATCATATAATAACTAGCACCGTAAATTGGAATCTAATTCACAGGTAATCACACTTAGCAATGAAAGCATTCTGCTTTAAATTTTAGAAAGAAAACACATAGTCTAGTTGCCATTTCTTATCTTAAATCCTTTGTAAGGCCTCAGGAGATTTTAAGAAAAGCAAGGCAGGAAAGAAATTTTCTTAAGAAACCTCAGAGTAATTGATCTTGGAGAGAAGGAAGAAGATGCACTATTCTAAGGTAGCTTCCTCTGGAGAATAGTCAGGACTGCATTTCCCTCGAATGTACCCAAAAGAGCACAGAAATCTCCCTTTTTTTGCAGTTCTGGGGTACATGTTTTCTATAAGCAATAAACAAAAGAAAGGAATGTCATTTCTGTAGTGTAACTTCAGGCAAGGCTCTATGAGCATTCAACTGAGAAGATAATGTGCATCCTATCCAGACAGGAGATAGGCTTTCCAGCATGTTCCCATTTGACTTTAGATTGGGCTCTCTCCATTTCAAGAAAGACCCAATGATCTGTGTATCCAAAGATGTTATATCATTTTGATCAGAACTACTTATGACACTTCAGTGAATTAAGCAAGAATACATTTTAGATAATTCTTGGGGATTAGAAGTAATTAGACCGGAAAGGGGCCCTGGAGTGCAGGAAGTCCCAGCTCCAACTAATACTATTCACGTGCTATAAGCAGTCAACACATCTCTCAAAAGCTCAATTTTCTCAATGAAAGTCAAGGACTAAATTGGTCTAAGGTGTCATCTAAGGTGTTCAGTATATGATACCCAGTGTTCTGGCATTATGTAATAATACTGTGAAAATAAAAGGGATATGAATATTAATATATACTATTCATTGCAAAGCTATTTTTGTTCATACCTAAAACTGTTCTCCATAACACCAGTGATACATGTGCCTCACACTGGGAAACACTATAAAACTATTTTCCCAAAGTTTTAGACAAATCAACTTCTATCCTAGAAAGGATTTTGTCCTCCTGCAGGGCTGATTGTCTGTACCCTTGGCGTGTGGATATATGTCCATTCTGTGTTGCTTTCCTTTGTTCAGATCTTTGAAGAAGAGCACAGCATTTTGTACCTTGATCAAGGTGGAGTCCTGGTTGCTATGAAGCACACCTCTCTCCCGATTCGACATCTTTGGTAAGGGCAGCTGCTGCCTGGGCGACTTTCTCCTGCTGTCTGCACTCCGGAGCAATGCTGGGACTCAGCCAATCAGACTGCGACCGAGTTTCCAGTAAATTATCATGCGGTTCTAGAACATCATTTCTACCTTTGCTCTGTTGAAGTAAGATTGTTACTGCAGATTTGTAGGACAGAAGTAAAAGTAAGAAACAGGGGAATTTCTACCATCCAGACAGGAATTCCATAATGGTTTTCTAATGTGACAATATCCTCCCCACAACCTTTTTCTCTCTGCAAGATGACAGGGAGGACAGTGTTGACCATCAGTCACTCTGTGTGAGACACTTATCTACTTGCAGTCACCTGTCCCAAATAGCATCTGCACTGGTCTGTGCGTTCCCACTGAAACGTGCAGTGCATAACCGTTCTGTTCCTGTCTCATTTCTACCATACTGCTTTCTTCACTGTCTCTTTTTTTTTTTTTGAGGTTTCAGTTTTCAATTCTTCCCATCTTCCACTGGTGGGGATGCAAGGCCCAACTTCGACAGGGCTTTCCAATGGGCTTTTTCGTCTGACTTTGGAAGTTACCCTCTTGGCGTTTGAGCTGGGTCAAAATCAAAAGCCCAATCTTCCCTCTACTCTTAACTACCTTGATGACTGGAGGAAAAGCTGCAGATGAGAAACAGATACTTAGCATGGCGAATTTCATCTAAGAGAAGGAGCCCAGGAAAAGCTCATTTGTGCTTATCTTAGTCTGCCCTGCTCCTGTAAGAAAATGCCATAAACCAGGGACCTCATAAACAGCAGAACTTTCCTTCCCACAGTTCTGGAGGCAGGAAACCCAAAGTCAGGGTTCCTGCACACTCAGTGTCTGGTGAGGCCCCTGTAATGCGATTCACATAGCTACCTTCCTAGGTTTCTGCAGGATTCTCAAAGGATTCCAGATAATCCTTTGAGGTTACTTGGTAAGGCACTCATCCCATTTCTGATAGCACTGCTCTGTGATCTAATCACTCCCCGAAGGAACCGTCTCCTAGTACCATCACACTGATGATTAGACTTCCAGCCACTGAGCTTTGGAGAGAACACAGACATTCAGACCACAGCTATAACCAGCAAAATTGCAGAATTGTTTATTCTTGCTCTCAAGAACCCCATCCCTCTGATATCCATTCCGGTCCTTTCCAGTGAGATTCATTATCGTTCAGTGAGGTCAGGTCTAATTTATATTTATGTGAGAAGGATACACCGAGAAGCTGGTCACTTAGAGACAGGCTTGTTATCTGTTACCACTGCAAGGTCATCTGTTCTAAGGTTACAGCCAAAGCTTGCTGGAAGAGAGCAGTAAGGATTTGCAGTGGGTCACATTGATATCTACAAACTTATAAAATACTCAAGTCAAAAACTTCTCTGAGACTTATTACTATTCCCGCTTCATCTAGCTCTCCCAATATCTATGGCTCTCACCACACATTCAAATCCCAACAACTTGGCCAACTTTATGTCTATCTTTTGGTGTAATTCAAAACTTACTCATATAACAGACTTACTTTGACAATGCCCTAGGCCCCTTTTGTAATGCATAGGGAACCAACCATACTAAGCTACATCACCAGTCCTATGATTTATTTATTTATTTATTTTGTTACTTAGAGACAAGGTCTTTCTGAGTGGTTGGGTTGTTTAGGCTGGGTTCAAACTTGCAACCCAGAGTGCTAGGAGTCACTGTCAATACTGTCTCCCCTTGGTCTTAGCAAAGGCTTTTTAAAAATTTTGTTGTGAGATTTGTTGACTGTTCTGCTCTGTGTTTAGGTTGAGTTTTGATGAAGGGAGGTCTTGGAGCAAATACAGTTTCACCTCTATTCCACTTTTTGTGGATGGTGTCCTTGGGGAGCCTGGAGAGGAGACTCTAATCATGACGTAAGTGAAAAACCGTGATGTGTCCAGTCTTCACACAAGCAAGCAAATCCATCCAGATGTCTTACACCTATCATTGCTGTTAGTTTTGAAGTTTTTTGCGAAGTCAGTCCCACTACTGTACAAGCCACCAGCAAGAGGGGACAAATCATGCTTTGACTCTTTGAGACCAAGATTGCGAGGGGAGATAGTAGAATGGAGAAGCTCTTTGCTTTCTATACTCGACGATACTAGAGAAATTAGAAGGAATTGTTTCAATATAAATGACAGCTATACATTTCAATTTTTAATAGTAAGCTAGCTGGATATGATGAAAATGTCAGATATATGAGAATGATTTCTCTTTCAGTGAGAACTCGGCATTCAAGAAAAATCCCACAAAGGATTTTATTTTTTCTGGCTTTTCACCTAGCCCAATTGTAAGGAATATTAGAAAAATCATCAGAAGAGTCTGTTCTTGTGAAATTGCATTTTACACTCATTCTTGTCTGAAAAGTGATGATCATTAACTTGTGAAAGGCTTGATTAATGATTCAGCTGCTTGTGATTTCCACAACATATACTTTGAATTTGAAATATGCAACTGTGGTATTTTTTCCCTAGAAAATTAGCCATGGCTGAAAGAAAAGGAAGGTTTCGAAGTACTGCATCAAATTACCAGTGAAAATTATAAAACCAAAGAGAATAATTGGCACATTTTCCAACCCTTCTTTTCATTTTTCAATAATAGGAATCAACAGCAAGAAAAATTTTATTTGCCTTCTATCTAAATCTTTGCAACTTATTTCATAATTTGCCTTCATTTGATTTTGTATTTGTGAAATAGACAAATTGCTGATCAGAAAGTCTCTTTCTTGGGGTTTATGACACTGATGGTTGATTCAGAGACCACTTGCGGACCTGAGTTTGAGTGAAGGGAGTAGAGGTAAAGTACAAGAGCACTTAGAACTACCGGCTTGCTGTGTACTACCCTAGAGGCGGCAGAAAGGCAGAATGTCTTGGGAACCATGGGAACCAGCTACATTTGCAAAAGAAGTTAGAAATGCAATCCTGCACCAGCAAGAATGCAGGGTCTGTGGTGGGGCTCTCATTTTGTCAGCATTCTTTTAATACAAATATATACAAGTAGACTCTTGACCTAAATATCAGTTGTGAGTACCTTGATTTTAGTGTTTGCATGTTGACAAAACAGTCTTAGCCTCTATGGAACCATCTGTAGAGTGGAGCTAGTGATCTCATTGTCTTCTTCAGTGTGTTTGGAGGTTTGAAAGATACAGTTTGTGCAATACACTCAGCGTGACACTCAATAAACACTCAGCAAATAGAAGCTGTTGCTAGGACTGTTGTGACTGTCATTGTTGTGGTTGTTTTTACCTTGGTGGACCCTGTAGCGTGTTTGGACACTTCAGCCACCGCTCTGAATGGCAGCTGGTCAAAGTGGACTACAAATCCATTTTCGACAGACGGTGCGCCGAGGAGGACTACACCCCTTGGCACTTATACAACCAGGTGGGAAGAAGACAACGGAGCCGGGGCCTGGGTGGGAAGTGTGGGAGTCAGATAAAGGAAAGCTACTCTCCAAGGGTTAGAAACTGGGGTTCTGTGGGACAGAAATGCCCGTTTGGTTCTTTATACATGTGTTCCGCAGTGGTGCACAAACTCAACATTTCCACATTTTCCTCGTACTTCTGCTTTGTGATGCTTGGATATAATGAGACACAATTCAGATGTCCTTGCCTTAGACTTAGAGCTCAAAATGAAATGCTGACCTTGTACTGAGAGCCAAGCACAATTTACTGGTGCATGTCACGTGATTGCAAGGTGGGGCCGGGTAAGGGCGAGAGCTTTAGTTTTATTTATAGTGATGTACACAGAGGTGAGTCCAAAAAATACCACAGAGTTGCTGATTGAGGAGTGCCAGAAAAATGCTCCTTCCCACTTTCCTTGATTCTCTGGGAATATACAGTGCTTCTCGGCTCCTCCATGGTACTTGTGGTACATTAATACAGAATTAGTAACAGGAAATGTTCCTGGGGGCCTCTCGGATATGCAGCTCATATCAAAATGCAGAAAGCATCTCTTTTTGGCTACTTAAGGCAGAAGTCATTCTTCATTTCTCTCAGAGGCTATGGTTAACGTTCTTACAGCAAAACCATCACCAGGTTTGGGCACTGAGGCATACTAAACCCAAGTACAGACTATGCTGTTTACACATAGATCGTTAATGGAGGTAAAGTCAGTTTCCCAAAGAAATATAGTGTAGAATACATTAAACAAAAATTTTACCATCATCTTTGAGGAACAGGAAAGGAACTAAGTGTTTGATAGCAGATGCTGCAGTAGCTTGAATCGTCTGCCTTATTCCAAGGCTCAACAATAAAATGATCACTTACTTACATTGTTACTCTTTCTCCTTTGGGAAGCTCAGGCATTGCGTTGGTCAAGGCTTTATTTATTTCATGGAAAAACACTGAATTTAGTCCTCTTGCTTGTCTGGTAGATGAATACACATAAAACTGTGCTATAAAGTTGTGTGGGCAGAAGCATAATAAATCAGGACAAAGTGGATCTTTACATTTCTTAGCAATGCACTTTCTTCATACGCTTATAAATGACCGGGGACAGTAAATCTTTCGTTAATGAAGAATTTAACTTAATTACTGTAAGTTTGCCGATCTTATACTTGCTGTTAATCCTTCTTACTTACCTGTGTATCCTTCATATCTCTGAGCCTCGTGCTTCTCCAAATAAAAGTTTGTTCAATACATAGGATGATAAGAAGACTATCAGACAGATCTTCAGTGATTCTTGGGATTGCCCTTATTGTCACAGTTTATAATAAATGTCTAAAACATGCTGGTAGGACAGAGTGAGCTACCAGAGTCCATATTACAGTAGGATTTGCAAATATTCTCCTTAGCTGGCTTGCTTGGAGCAAGGAAATTCCAAGCGAGGTGCCCAACATGTGCTATGCTGTCTTTACAGGGGGAGGCGTGCATCATGGGAGCCAAAAGGAAATACAAGAAGCGAAAATCAGAGCGGAAGTGCATGCAGGGAAAATATGCAGGTGCCATGGAGTCTGAGCCCTGTGTCTGCACAGAAGCCGATTTTGACTGGTGAGCTTGCACAGTGACACACCGGGTGTTCAGGGTCTCCATTCACATCACAAGGTCCTTGAGGAAAGCACAGATTTGTAAAAGCCCCACTGTCTAGAGGGCCAAGTGGAAACCTCGTGTCTGAATAAGTTAATCATCACATGGTTTACTGTCTGTGTGGGGGTGTGCGTGGCAAAACTGGGCATTGCTTTGAAGAGGATTCAAGAGTTGGCTGGCAATTATCCCCAATACTGATAGTCTCAGGCCAAGGACAGAAACCAGGTTCTTCCTGTCCACCTCAACAGCAACACTGAACACAGTGAGTGGACCTCTCAGGCCAAAGAAATATTTGTGGTCTATGTAAACCTTTTCTAGAATCATCTAAAAGCCTCAGAATATAACAGTGACCTTAAAAGGTGGTAAATTTTCTGTCCCTAAAAGTTTTCTATCAGTAGTCAGCTGACTGCAGTTTATGAGCAGTGCAGCAGACATTTATGACCACAGTGGCAGGTTCCAGTGAGTGAACCTGGTGAGAGAGAAATTAGTATAAAGTGAGGAGGTACTGAGATACCAGAAGACTTAAACCGAACTCAGATTCCATGGAGTTCTTCCAGGGATGCTTGCTAGGCCAAAAGCTAACATGCAGTGCATGCTCTAGCATTGTTTGCAGTCAGTGTATCATGTTCAGGTGACATTGACACATTTATTGATGATGACTAATAACTCATCCCTTCATTGTTTCCATCACATTTTCGGTTCCTTTGTCCTTTTCATTTATACATATTTGAGCTTGGAGAAAACAATGCCTCAATATGCATATAATTTTTAAACAATTGAAACTTCACTTGCATAAAACTAGCCATCACCAACCATTTATTTTTAGCTCTATGGCCATCACAGCTCACATATCTGATCATCCAGATATTGGTGTTTGAGACTCTGTATATGTGTACATTTCATATTTTAGAAGACTGCCTTCTTTAGGGCAGGTCACTGGATATATTTTCTGAGTAAATAGCACTAGTGTAGCCTGGCAAAACAGGGAGACATCTGCCAGACCAGTAACCTAAGGGAGCTGGGTGAACCCTGCCCGAGCCACTTCTGTGACTCTCTCAATCAGCCAGGGGGCATTGGAGCCTCAGGAACTCTTCAGCATCTCCCCAGCCATGACTCATTCCAGCCATTGCAGCATCACTGCGTTTCAATGACAAAAAGATTTTATCTCCATCCTACCCTTCAAAACTGACACTGCAGTACATTCCTGGAAAGGACTGCCATGAGGGTTGAAGTCATTTCCCGCATCCCTCTTTCCAAGTGCTCTCCCATCATTCACTATCCTCAAGCAGGATCTGCAAAAGAAGGTGGTGTTTTACACCTGTGCATTAATTTGGAGCTTAGGAAACAGCCTTTCTTTGACCGAGAGCAGATTCACTCTCTAGTAGAAACTGAAGGAAAGAAGTGAGGTGATATATACCAACAGCTTGGTTTCATCTTTGAGGTACTTGCTTCCTTGGGGACCTTTCTTACAAAGTCCCCAAATGAGCCAGGTGTGATGGTTGCTGTTGTTTGCCATTTCCAATCTTTAAGCTTGTCCAGAGTGAGAGGAGCACAGGCTAAGGAAAGCCAACAGGCTTCTGTCCTCCCATCCCCCTACCCCTGCATCTTAGCCTAATGCTAGATATCATTTGTTACTGGATTCTGCTGCTCATCCCACCAGCTGAACTATGTTCTGAAAAGTAGGAAATGACTAATATGAAAGACCATTGTTAGGCTTTCTGATCAAATGCCCCTCTTGGAGTTGTGTGGCTTCTGATGATCTTGTTGGGTCCCTACAAGTAGTTATAGAGTTCTGACGATCCCATCTGACTACAAAATAAGGAAAAGCATTGCCTCTGAATATCCTTGTGTAGCCTGGCTCTTTGGACCTCCCCCAGGTGACCTTACCTAAAACTATCCAGCATTTGTAAAGTGATTCCCTGAAGCATATCCTTCAGAGAGCAGTGGTCAAGTCTTTCTAGCCATGCAGTGTTGAACCAGCACCAAAGCCAGTTGGAATATGGAGAGTCCTCTGAGTTCCAGCTGCCTGGTGACAGTTCCCTGTGCTGAGCCTCTTTTTCCTTCTTTTCTTCCTTCCTCTCTCCCTTCCTTCCTTCCTTCCTCTCGTGCCAGTGTCTTACCTCCGTTACAGAGATGGGCCAATCCACACTGCTCCCTGCTGATTGCCACGTGCAATTTGTTTGTGCACAAGGAAGTGTAATTTGTTGTCTTTCCCTGTGCCCAGCTTCATCCCTAGAAGCCAAAACTCTCAGGCCACTCAGCAGCCCTGAAGGCAAGAATGGGTAGGGTCTGAGGAAGAAGTCTGACTCTTTCCAAAGCAGAAAGGACTGAAAGCACTGACTGCCTAGGAAAAAATGTTTTCGTGAGGGAACACTTACAGCACTGCTGAAGGACGTTTGCCTCTTAGCTGTGACTTTGAAGCATATGGCTCATGCGCAGGGGGACCTGGCTCAGCTCTGCTGGGCAGATCCAGATGTCTTGGAGGAGCACCCCAAGGACATCACCAGTGGTGGGAACTGTGCCACATGAGGGTGTGCAAGCTCCTCCCCAAAGTGTTGCCTAGGGGTTGAGCTTCCACCACTGCCTGTTTTCCAGTTGCAGTCAACTTTGTATATACATCTTCTGATGAACATGTAACCCCATCCTGTGGGTTAAAGGTTCTATAGGATATTTTCAGGGGTAATTGATAATCTGAGAAAAAAGTTCCATCCTTGAGAAGTTATTGATTCAGGAAATGAATTTGACTGATTAGAATAGAAGCTGGCTGTGGCCTAACTGGGCATTATGCTTTGTCACTTTGCCACCTGCTGAAAGTTATGTCTTGGCTTTTTCCCCAACAGTGACTATGGCTACGAGAGGCACAGCAATGGGCAGTGCCTGCCAGCATTTTGGTTCAATCCATCCTCCCTGTCCAAGGACTGCAGCGTGGGGCAGAGCTACCTCAACAGCACTGGGTGAGTAGGATCCGAGGCAGGAACCCTGAGACGCCAAAGCTTTGCTGCTGTTTAGCATGTGTTATACCGAGCAGGTTACCCCTCACTGAGACTGGGGTTACTTCCTCCAAGCTCAGTACTCTTGGGTTTGTTCATCTGAATAATGCAGTACAGTTTTGCATTAGTAGTGTGGGTTGAAGTTGTGAGTAGACTGCAGTTGCAAATAAGGAAACGAGATTGGTTTCTTGGATGAAGATGAGGATGTAGAAGCACTTTGTGAGATTTTGCTTCTAGAGAAAAAGAACAAATAAAGTGTAAATATTGAGTCCTTAATGTTGGATGTATAAATAAAAAGAGACAAATTGTTGGTTTTAGGGCTCTAGGAGGGTCAAAACCCGTTAGCTGAGCTTGAAACTCCAAGAGCTAAGACAAAGACTTCTCTGGACCACCCACTTTATTTATTAGGTCCAACAACAAGGGGTGGGGAAACTGAGGAAAATACAGAGATGAGTAGGATCTTGGGAGTCACTTCAAGGACTTCAAGTAATGAGTCAAGTCAATTCAGTGAAACTGTCTTATCAAGAAGACATGGTAGAAGTGAGACTATAGGAGTAATTTCTGCAGCTGCAGTCTCTATCTTGTTAATTGGGGTTGGAGCCAAGTGTCCACAGCTGTGGTGTTATCTTGCCCTTTGAGGTATCTCTGACCTCACAGGCCACTACAGGCCTCAGCCAGGACCAATGATTCATAGAGGTTCACTTACTATGAATCAGCTCCTGTTGCCAGGCAAGGGGCCAAGGCCTAGGACGGATTCACAGATACACATAGAAAGCCAATTAGTAAAATTTAAATCCTGCTCAGAGCTGCTTCATAGTGGATTCCAACATCTCCTCCCTTTTGTTTTTGTAATAACAGCTGGATCAGGGTGAGGCATGGTTGAATGTTGTCTAGGAGTTGACCCGCCTTGGCTTCTCTTTGACAGACTATGAATAGAATAAGGAGAAATACACAGATTACTCCAAGTATACCAACACAAAGACAGAAGTGTGCCTTTAAATAGCTGAAATTGATTTAATTGATCTAAACCATCAGAAAATTTGTCCCAATCTTGAATTTGTTTGTAAATTTTGGGGTTGTTGGGACAGTTGATAGCATCTCCTTCTGGAGTGTATCAATATCCATAGTAACATTTTGATGGATAGTTCTTTGTACATGTTTCTTTAGGTCCTCCTAAGAATGTATAGATTTATTATAAGACAAGGGAATTATGCAGAAATAAGTGGCCTTGTAATGGCATTTTAATCTTGTAATATTTGTAAACTCTCTATTTGATCTCCCATCCATAACACAGAAGTTTCCAGTGTGCTAAGCTGTGTCTGTAATTTGGCATCTATGTTACTTTGTGTTTTCCATGCTTTGTCAGCAATTTTTGCCCAATAATCTACAATATGTGCTATCTATAGAATGTGTAATGACCACTGAAAAAACCGCCACACTGGAAATCAGGAGAACTAGAGAGACGATTCCTGCAATAATTAAACCAAGCATTCTTTTTGTCCTGTGTGTCAGACATTTTACTAGGATATGTAGCAAATGTGATGCTGGAGAGTAGGGCCATGTTTCGGTGAGATTTACAGGGATCCAAACTCCTGGCATGTGACCCATTATCAGTAATGTCTGTCCATAAACAGCTCCTGGCCTTCCACAGTGGCTCAAGGTACAATTTGAGCACTTGAAAGAATTTACATTCCAAGATACAGTACCATATAAAAATACATAAAGTTTATAAGTGCAAATAGATGGTTGGACAGTCTTAGATGTTTTAATTTATAAGTTTCTCTATTGTATGATTTAAATCCCCTACCAGTCCGTATGCTCCTTTTTATAAAAGGTAGAGTCAACTTCCAGAAAGACTGTTGTGTGGGTTCTCCTTGTGTACCATAGATTAAGTGAGGCATGGGGGTACTAAGTCTTAAACCAGTCCAATTTACATGTTGCACAGGTAGAGATTATTTAGTAACATTGTCTGAATATGTCCAATTTAGTCCCTGCCATGGGTCTGTATTTTTTATCCTTCCAACAAGTTCTCCCCATGGGTTCCAATCAATAAACTCATATTGTCCTATTTTTCCTTTAATATCTGTCTTGGTCCGACAAGCAGCCCAAGGCCAAACAGCCTCTTCATGAATCTGTAAGGGACTAATTACAGAGCAGATAGGTAACTTAGGCTCCCATAAATCTCCTGGGATAGATGTAGAATCCAGGGTGATAACTACCAGTTGCTGTATGGTGTATCCCACCCATAGTTGTGGGTGAGCAACATGGCAGTGGTTTGATTGAACCATAGCATCTTCAACACACAGGGAGGAATGAGATTGTCTAGCTGTATCAAATGGTATAATAAAAGCAATTAGCAAATCAGCCTGTTGATTGACATATGTTAAAAATCCAGGCAAATTAGAATGAGATCTTATGTGACCAATATAAAAGGGTGATGTTTGATTAGGAATCACCTGTTTTAATCTAAGAAACAAGTTAAATAAAGGTGGGTCTAAGCTCGACCATAGGGTGGTGCTCTCAAGCTGATGAGTAAGGTAAGCTGTATATGCTGAGTCACTGATTATATTAATAGGTTTACAGTTAAATTGTTGTGTGACAAATAAAATAGCAGTGATCTCAGATCTTTGTGCAGAAAGTCCTAGAGCTTTTAATCACCTGGTGATAGTCTTTACTCCAGATTGCAACCTTGGCCTTGGAGGAGCCATCAGTGAAAAAAAACTGTTGCATCAGAAATAGGTTCAAATTTAGTAATCTTTGGAATAATACATGAGTTCTTGAGAAAAAACTGAAAGATAAGATTGATAGGATTATTTCCAAAAGATGAAAAATATTTCCAAAAGATGAGAAGTATAAAATAAAAAGCAGCCTTTATTCTGAGAACACAGAGAGAGATGACCGGCAGCCCCCACCACTGGCGACCAGTGATCTCTCTGGCGGACACATGGCGTGGGGGTATGTAAGTAGCCTCGGTTTGGGGCGGCATTAGGGATGTACAGGTAGCCCATTGGTCCTAGGTAAATTCCCAGGGGTGGGAAGATGGCGTCACAGGTAAATTCCTAGAGGCGGGGTGGAGGTGGGGGAATAGGGGCTTCCTGCTTCCGGTTGAGGCTTTCCTGGCTACAGTGTCCTGTCTGGGCCAAAACCCTTTCAAGGATCACTGGGAAAATGATTATCAATTAGTTCTATGAAATCTGCAAAGGCTACTTGCCAATATAAACTTGTTGTAACAGGATCAAATATTGATTTAAATCAATAGGCAATAAAATCATAGCAGGATCAATCCCAAAAAGTTGTTTAGATCTTATTCTTTCCATGGTCACAACCTTGGCAATTTGTTCTAAGTATAACTGTAAGATTTTGACTAACTGATTAGATAGATAAATCCACTCAATAGGGAAAATCTGTTTATCATAATATTGTCCTACAAGACCTGTAGGAGAATGAGGAATGTTTAGAATATAAAGAACAAGGCAATAATTTGTATTTATTCTAAAATTTTGACACTGTTGTAATGCCTTTTCAACCACAGCTAGCTCTTCTTGTACTTTAGTAGACAAATTAAGAGGGGAACCAATAGCCAGATCTCCCTGTAAGGTACCATACAAATGTTTCAATTGATAAGTAGCAATACCCAACTTTGATCTTATCCAATTTATATCACCTGATAATTTTTGGAAGTCATTAAGACCTTTTCAATGGTCTCAGCCAATCTGTAATTTTTATGGCTTTACCTCTCTGTCAGTTACAAGTATTCCCAGGTAGTAGTAATGGCTGAATAACTGAACTTTGTCTGGAGCAATGCAGAGGGCAAAGGATATTAAATCTCATTTTGTTGCTGTAAATAAATCATATAACTTTTTTAATTGGAGCTGACAATAAGATGTCATCCATATAATGGACCACATATAAGGAAAGGTAAGTTTGTCTAACCTTTTGTAAGGCTTTCTGTACAAAAAGCTAACATAATGTTGGACTATTTTTCATTCCTTGAGGTAATATGACTCATTGGTAGCATTGCATTGGCTCTTTAAAGTTTAGGCTAGGCACAGAAGAAGTAAATGTGGCCTATCTGTAGGAAAAAGAAGGATGTTTAAAAAAAAAAAGCACCAGGCCAGTCTCTAGGAACTGCAGTTAGATTTGCAGTCCTGGCTGCAGCACCCCCATAAGAAGTAAGCAGGCATTTACAGCTCTTAAATCCTGTAACAACCTCCATATGCCTGACTTCTTTGGAATAACAAAGACAGGAGTATTCCAAAGGCTAACAGCTTTGTAAATGTCCTAGCTGCAATTGCTCTTCAACTAATTTATGTAATTGAGTTAGCTTCTCCTTTTTAAGGGGCCATTGATCTATCCAAACAGGCTCCTTAGTTTTCCATTGTAAAGGCAGAGCTGTTTGGGGGGGAGAAGAATCAATGGCCCTTGTCAAAAAACCTGCTGACATCCAATACCTTGCTTGTCATCTTTAGGTGTAATCTTAACAGGCTCTTTGATTCCTTGTAAGTTTTTTTCCTAGTCCTTTGCCTTTGTGATATCCCATTTTAATCATCATTTTCTTAATTTTAGGATTTGAATTTATTTGTTCAGTTTCCAAATTGGAACTTGTTTGTTCAGCTTTAAAATCAGAATCACTAGTCAGCACTAATTTCCACTTTTGTAACAAATCTCTTCCCCACAAGTTAAGTGGATAGGTGCCACATAAGGTAAAAAGAAACCTTTTTTTTTTTTGGTCTAGTCCCTCATAAGGCAAAGGTGAGGCACTCTGTAACACTTCTGAGGGGTTCCCCATCCAATAAGGAATGTAGGGGCCCTTTGTGTTGGCCACATGGCAGGCCATTGTTTTAATGCAATTACAGACACATCTGCACCAGTGTCTATTAGACCTTCAAAGTATTTCCCATTAATTTTTATAGAACAGGTAGCCCTGTTTTTAGTCACTTCCTGTGTAAAATAAATTTCTCTCT